TATTCGACAAGTGCTTATGCGACTTATTTTAATATGGAATTATTCTCATCATTGTTCTATTCGGCTAGACGTGTTATTATTATTTTTTTCTTTCTGCTAGATTTTCTTAGGACTTCTCAGAGTATTCAGATGCTTGCATGCAAAGATTTTACTTGACGGATGTGTGTGAGAAATAAATCGGCAGGAGAAAAGTAACGAGAAAAAAGTATCTACACAATGAAAAGATTTCGCTGAATATGGAAAGAAAAGGAAAAAGCTTTTTTTTTTTTCTTTTTCAAATGCATGAAAAACACCAGCTCTCTAATAATAATAGATGAAGATAGATGTTGAACAGATAGATAAAGTTACTCTTAAGGTTTAGAGAACGTCTTTTCTTTTTGAATTTATTAATCGAGTCAAATTTCTATTTATTTTTTTTTTTTTTTTGAAGATAAGATTTAACAGGATAAGAAAAAAATGACACGCATAAATAATTAAATCTTCATATCGGCATCACATTTTGTGAGCACAGCTTGTCTGTTACTTGATTTAAAATGAAACCTTGGTAGGAGCTATTTATTTATTTATAAATAACGATGTGTCAAATGCTGTTGAAAGATGAAATAGGTCTCTATACTACTTTTCTTTTTCTCTCTTTCGTCTCCGTATCTCTCTTGAGTGTGCGTGTACGTCTCCATCTCCATTGCTAGTCTTAAAAAAAAAAATCGTGACACGTACGCATATAAGATGAAGAGACAGAAAAAAAAGCGAGCGGCCAACCACCGTCGTCCTGTGTTCGTGCTATGATTTCCTCGCTCTCTTGTTCGCTACTCTCCAAGGACACCCGCCGAGGCGCATACAAAGCTCATTCTGTGCATACTAACTCGTCGTACTTGTCCTTCCTCTTGTCCGTACGTATATTTACACTCGGATGTCGTGAAGAGTAAGTCATTTTACCGTTCTGAATATTTCATACTAGCACAATATATTGTATTTTGTTTAACACACATCATTTCACAATATATGTCATTAAATGGAAAAAAAAATAGCAAAAAAATGAAGTCTAATAGGATCTAATTGTATTAATCCTATATTTTACATTTGTATATTTCATTTCTATAGAATCTTTCTTTCTCTTTTAATTTTTTTTTCTATTCATTTCAACTTGACGTTCACTGTCAGTAATTGTCATCATTGTCCTTCGACCGTTATAAAAGAAGGTGAAGGTCTCCTTTTTCTTTTCTTACTATATAATAAACATGAAACAAATGACGGCATTTTTTTCCTTTTTTTTTTCTTTTTGATAAATTAACTCCAAAAAAAAATTGAAGTATGACAGAGAAGAAGAAAAAAAAGTTCGATTAGTTTATTTGTTATCATAATTGGATAGGGGTGACAGTAGAATGGTTGGAATGTTCTTGTTTATCAATAAAGTACTTGAAGACTATAAGAGAGTAGACATCCTTACTATAACGAAACGCACAATGATTAAGTTTTTTTCGCCTCGATAACTGTCACTAAAAGAAGAAAAATTTGGTTTCCGTTGACATCATAAATGGAAAGAGAGCTCGATTGGGAGTCGCTCAAGCTTCCTTTTCTTCGTTCTCTCTCTCTCTCTCTCTCTCTCTTGTCATTTGATTTTTATCTATCATGTTACGTTAATATGTATATATAATGAATATATTAGAGATCGATCAAGCAGGAGAATACTATTATATTAGATAGGTATTTGACGAGATATATAATTATAATTAAGATATTCTTATAGTCCATTACATATGGAAAATATTTTTATTCATGAAATCCTTGATGAACATGTTTTCTTCTGTGTATAAGAGATCAGTAAACAAGAAAAAAAAAAACTGAAGAATACACAATTCTTCTATTTCATCGGTTGACATGTCTGTATAGATCAAAGAAGTATTTCCTCGTAATTGAACTACCAAAACCTCGCATTACCCTTGAGAAAAGTGTCGTTATGAATATGTAACTAGAGTGAAAAGAAGAAAAAAAAAGAAAGAAAAAAAAAGAAAGAAAGAAATGAACGTTATGATAAGAAGATCTTTGAATATATATATATATATATTTTTTTTTTTTTTTGGTGATCAAAAATAGAAAAAGAAAGTACGTCAGACAAGGAAAATTAATATCAACTTTCTCCACTATCTCTCTCTCTTGGTCTGTCGCCTTCTTTTTTTTCAATAGTAATCATAAAGATGTCGATAAGTAAAGAACAACAATAGTTAATCTGCTTATTCTTTTCTCGTTCCTTCTCTTGCACATATATTTGCTTTGAAGCATCGAGATAAGAGACAACAGACTTCGTTAAAAAAAGAATAGCAACAGGCAATGATCGCCTAAAGACATAGTATATTTATGCGAGGTGAATGGATCATCGCTTTGTATCATCAGTAGTTGAGTTTGTGTCTCGGTCGCGACTGGTAATCCACATCAAGCAAAGGTCATTTTCTTTGTTTCTTATTCTTCTTCTTTTTTTTGTGTTTCTCATTATTTCTTTTTTTTTTTGTCGAGTTTTACTCATTGATGGTAAAATAGTGATGTGAGAAAAAATTCCACTCTTTTTCAAACAAAGCTGATAAGCAAGTACAGTAAAAATGTGTTTGTGTACGAAATATTGGCACGTCTCATTTTTTTTTATATCTGGGGGCCAAAGTTCTGCTGAATGATAGTGCATCTAAGGCGTTTTTTCTCTTCCATATAACTCGTTTTTCTTTTTGTCTTCTTTTTTTTTCTTTTTCATGATTATAGCTTTGAGGACACTTGTGCTTACAAATGCAGACAGCAAGCACGTACTTTGAAGGTTTTCTTTTTTTTTCTATTTAGCCATTTTTTGCTCCAGTTATATCGAAGCAAACAAAGGTAATCATCATCAATATTTGATACCGACACATTTTTGTTGACGAAAGGTGTCATGCACATTCATTTAAAAAAAAACACAACAAGATCCAGTTTCATAACGAGATTTAGATAAAGGAAAACATACAGTTATACAAGAAAAAAAAAGTGATATTGATAAAGTTATTGTCCAAATGGTTTAGCCTCGAGACGGCGAGTTCACAAGGTTTTCTATTGCATACTTCATTTTACCATGATAGAAACAAGTGAGAAGGATTCGATACTGACAGATGGATAGACATATCAAGCGATCTTGGTAAACTGTCCTTCTGCAGTTAGTAATTTGCTATACATAAGACGAGGCTCTACACTTTCATCATTGCTACATCTCATGTTAGCCACAAGAGATTGACTCTCTCTTCTCTCTAATAGTTTATTGCGGTTTACATAGTTTCTCTCATTTTTATGTGTCTCTTTTTTCTTTTCTTCGTTGTCTTTTCTCTTTTCTCAACTTGTTGAAACGAGAAGGTTGTCTGGTGTCCAGATGAATATATCGCATGTAGTATTAAAAACAACCGAAGCAATAGTAATAGACAAAAACCGCTGCATCAGCATTCCTCTTTTTTTTTTTGTCTAGAACGTCTAATAGAACAAAAAGTTGTGAAGAGAAAGAGAGAGAGAGAGAGAGAGAGGACTGATGTCTTTCTACTATTCTCTGTTTTTTCTCTTCTTGCGTGTGTGTACGGGTTTGTAACCGCAACAAACCAACATCATCACTACACTTACAATTGTAACCATCATCAACGAGAAGAGAGAGAGAGAGACAGAGAGAGAGAGTCGGCGCCACAGCGGCAGCAGTGACGACGGCAGCACCTTTTTTTTGCTCGTTCTTCTCTCTGCATCTATTATGTAAGATACGCACATACCCACATTCACATATTTGTGTTAGCAATAGAGAAAAAAAAGAGAGAAGAGAATAGAAAAAAAATGAGAGAAGAGTATCTACTAACTTCCCCTATTACTACAAACGGCCAATTTTTTGTTTACAATAGTCGACGACAACGATGAATTGAGAGAAAGGGAGCAACATTTTTTTTCTCCTCTTCTTCTTCTTCTTCTTTTTCTTTGCTTTTTCCCCTACTTTTTACTACTCTTACCCTTTCAATTTTCAACTTTCTTCTCTTTACCTATTCCATCTCCCTTCATCATCAAGACCGTGAGGCAAACAAGCTTGTTGAACATACAGTAGAAGGACAAGTATGTCCCCTTATACTTTCAATTTTTTTGGTTGCTTGCACTCTTGTCTTTCTCTCTCTCTCTCTTTCTGTCTTCCATCATTTATTCATCATGATCAACGATCTCTTGAAAATTCTCAACGTCGTTATTACTTGTGTGTTTTGTTTCTTCAATGTTACCTTTCTCACAGTATGCCTTAAGCATATGTGTCTCTTCTGTGACTGTACCAATGCCCTGTTGACTAAGAATAATAATCGAGTTGTAATCAATATGCCGAAATATGACTAACTTATAGATATAAGGCAAGAAATGAGCAACTTTGAATGAGACTGATTATTCATTAACGCTTCTCTCAATGTGTTATATGAGAAAAAAAGAGACGATCAAGCAGGAGGAGAGAGAAAGAAATGACAGACAGAATACTCATACACATAAACACAAATTCATTCTTATATTTTCCAGACATATAATTCTCAAGATTATTACATCATCAGATATATATATATATATATATAGGCACACGTGGAGAGATGTTAAAACAATATTCATTTATTTTTCAGATAGTTTCAATAACCTTTTGTTTTTTTTATCTTTCTTTTCATCAATGACTTATTCATTTAAATGAATATACAATGTTTTATTATGATTAGAAATTGTTTTTTTCTAATGATTCATTATTTTACAATTATAGATTTCGTTTATTAGTCGGTCTAACTGATCGACATTTATAGTCTATTCTACTAGTTCAATTCAAATATATTTGTGCAGATAGTATATTTGCTCTCTCACTCTTATAGTCAACATTTATTCATTCTAGGGTAATTAAATAGAAATTTATTTCAATAGAAAATTTTTTCTTTTTTTTCTTTTTTTAATTAAAACAGCTTTGAAAATTAAATAACCGAACAAGATAAAAAAAAAAGAAACAAATGTTACGCATAGTATTATTAAGTTTAATATTATTGGTATCATTATCATCAACAACATCATCAATTCTTCGAAGATCACTTTCACGTCGACAAAGTGATGTTCCACCATGTAATGCTATTGAAGGTTTCGAATGTAAATGTTCATTTTTTCGTGTAACATGTACGACTACTCGTGATTTTCCATCACCATTAAATATTTTACAAAATGAAAAACATAAATATCAATCAGTTGAATTAGTTGTAGCAGCTGCACGTGATATTCAAGTTAATGAGCGTACATTTGAATCGATTAAAGAATTATATAAACCTGATGGAGATAATTTTGAATTTCGTATTAAATTTGAAAAATTTACTGGACTTCGTTTATCAACACCTGGAGTATTTAATCGAGTATTTCCAGATAATATTCCACCACATGCACGAAAACAAATTGTAAAAAAAAATTTTCTTTTTTTTTTTGTTCTAAATTAAAATTTCTATTCATTTTTTTTTTTTGATTTTCAGGCATTAGAAGTTTATAATCCAGAAGTAGCACCAAGTGAAAGTCCATTTTTATTTCAAAATTTAAATGTTGATACATTAGAACTTTATGCATTATATCCATTTCATGGTACATTTCAACAATTATTTGATGGTGCAAATATAAAATATTTACGTTTAAGTGGTGGTGATATTCGTTCGGATTTATCACAACCATTTACAGGAACAATTGGCCGTTTAGAATTAGCTAAACAAGCAAGCTCATTATCAGCACAAAATTTTCCTGCTTATCCAGCACATGAATTAATCATAAATGCTTTTTATATAACTGAATTTAACAGTGAAAATCCACCAAGTTATTCAAATTTAGGCGAATTACGTGTTTATAGTCCTGATCGTATACCAGCAAATGCATTTCAACAATTTCCTAATATTCATACATTATCAATATCAACTGATAAAGATATTGATCCAAATGCATTAAATGGTTTAAATAGTTTAGAAAAATTATCAATTAAAGAACCAAAACCATCATTAGCACTTTTAAATAGTGTACCTAGTGTTAAAGAATTTGAAACAAATATTGAAAAATTAGATGAAGATGCACAATGTCAATTAGTTGGTAAATTAGCTAATGGACAAACTGCAGTTCAAGGTAAATAAAAATAAAAAGAAATTTTACAAGAAAAAAAAAAAAGAAATTTTACAAGAAAAAAAAAAAGAAATTTTTTTTTGTTCTTTTCTTTAGCTATACCAAATGGTCGTGATTGTACCTGTACAGCTGCTTATTTAAGTACAGCTGCAGGTCGTACACCATGTGATGTACAAGGTTGTGAACGTTCATCATGCGCTGCAATAAGAAATAATTATGATGCATCAATACGCGCCTTTAAAGCAACACCACCTATTCGTCGTGCAGATGGTACAGATGCTTTACATCCACGTGAACAACGAGTATATTCAGCACCATATCAAGTATCAGCTGGTGATCGAGAAAAATATCATAGAGCTGCGCCACCACAACATGCACAACCTACACAAACAGATGATGATAGTCAAAGACCTGGTCCTGAACAAGCTCCATGGCAACATGGACAACGACCAGGTATGTTAAATGTTTAATTAGAAGTTATAGAAATAATAAGTAAATAAGAAAAACAAAAAAGAAAAAGAAAAAGAAAACAAAAAAAAAAGAAATCAATGTTCTATGTAACAATTACAGACACTCATCCTTCATGGCCTACTTATCCTGATGCAAACCAGGTTGTTGATACACATGATAATGAAAAATCAGATTCATATAATTATCCATCAGATGTGCAATATAATCAAAATGATCAATCAAAATGGAATTATCCAAATTATTACAATAATCAAGACGATAAATCTCAATGGGAACCAACACCTCAGGATAATAATCTTAGTGATAAAACTCATTGGGATAGAACAAATGAGGAACAAAATCTTAGTGATAAAACTCATTCGGATAGTACAAATGAGGAACAAAATCTTAGTGATAAAACTCATTGGGATAGAACAAATGAGGAACAAAATCTTAGTGATAAAACTCATTCGGATCGTACAAATGAGGAGCAAAATCTTAGTGATAAAACTCATTCGGATAGTACAAATGAGGAACAAAATCTTAGTGATAAAACTCATTCGGATCGTACAAATCAGGAACAAAATCCTAGTGATCAATCTCAATGGGGACATACAAATGAGGAAAGCAATCCTTCTGATAAATCCCATTGGGATAATACAAATGAGGATAAAAATCCTAGTGATCAATCAAATTGGGATTATTCAAATCAATATGACAAAATTAATGATGTAGAATCAGTAACAACGACAACATCTTTAGCGTGGGAACAAGTAAAGGATGATAATACTACGCCTGATTCATCCCTATATGGTATAAGGCTTTAATTGATAGCAATATGTATATTTTGCTTTATGACCTTTGATTAAGAGATAAAAAGTGCAACGTTAATTTTTATTATAGATGTTTTGCTTGATATTTAAAAAAATTTTTTTATGATTGATTTTAATTTTGATGTACAAAAATTAATTTTTTTTTAATTTTTCTCATTTTTTTTTTAAGACTCACAACCAGGACAAGATCAAGATGATAATCGTGAGGGTGATGATCAAACAAAAGTAAATGACGGCGGAGATATGCCACAAGAAGACAAAGTTCAAGAAACTCAACAAGATAGAGAAGGTCATGAGCATCATTCTGATAGAGACCGTCATGAACAACATCAGCCTACAGAAGGTAGTGAACAACAACCTGGTGGAGATGGTAGTCAACCAAGTACTTCAGGTGATTCAAATACTGGTGGTGAAGGAACACCATATGGTGATACAGAAACAGTAGTAGCACCGCCAAAGAAAGGAATGAATTGGTTACCAATAATAATTATTGTTGCATCAATTATTGTTCTTATTATTATTGGTTTGGCTATTTTATTTTTACGCAAACGACGTACTAATAAAGGTTATGGTGCGGCACCAACGAATGAACAAGCAACAGGAGGAACAACAACTCGATCATAAATGTCTATTAAATTTGTTTACAATTAATTGTCGTTTTGTCTTGTGTTTTATGTAATTTCTCCTTCTTTTTTTCGTCGGTGTTTCTCCGCACTCTAAGCAAGAGCAAGTATTATTATTATTATTATTATTATTATTATGATCATTATTATAACTGAACATTCTCTTGTAGCTTAGTATATAAACAACAGAATAATACTAGGCAATATATATTATGTGTGCGTATTCGCTTTTTTTGGTCCCATTTCGATCATTCTTATCGAAATAATTCATTTCTTTTTTCTTTTTTTTTTTTGTTCTGTCTGTCTTTTATTATTATTCACGTGATGAACTTTTGTGCTCTTTCGTGTCTATATTTCAATTTCGCTTCTTGTTTGTTAAAATATACAATTATCTTTTTTTTTCTTCTCTTTCGTTTCTTTTTTGTGGACATTCACATTCATCAAGTATTTTGTTGTTGTCATTTGCTATTGCCATCGCTTCGCCCCCTCCCCCTCCCCCCCCTACCTTTCCTATCGTACCTAGTGTGCGGTTTTCTTTTTTCTTATCAACATTAATAACAACATGAAAAACCAATTATATTCTAGATGGACTGTTTCTATATTAAGTGTGCAAATGTGTTTGTATCTTCTATAATTTGCTTTTCTATATTTCATTGTTTTATTCTTGATGTTCTCAATTTTAATTCATTTCAATTGGTTTGGTATTTTTTTAGCAAGTTTTAATTTTTGTCGCTTTTTTTTTTTTTTTTTCTTTTCAAATCACACGCACACATAAGATCCTACTTTCTTTTTTTTTTTTTTTTGCTCTTTTTTGCTTTCTCTATAATTTAAAAACTTGTTATAATAGCAACAGCAGAACAAAAGAAGTCAAGCAATTTATTTTTTTAGATTGAGGAAATTGAACAAAGAAAACAAAAGATTGCATGACGTTTTCGATGTGAAACATAATGACAATCGATTTCCGTATTCTATGATTATTGAACATGAAGATGCAATTTTTTTTTCATAGTTATTTATAATATAGAACATATGTCGTATGATAAAAATATATCTATTGAAGAACAAAGCTTATAACTTTTGCTGGAAATGAGAACATTCTCATGGGAGGAAACATTTTTGCGATTAATCTCAGTTTACATATATTTTCTATGATATATATTCAGATGAAAATCGACGTTAACAGATTCTACTCATTGATTATTCCAGACCAACAAAAATAACGGAAATTAGTTTTATTTCCATATTGATTTGATTCCCTGGATAATAACAAAATTCGTTACTTTGCATTTTATTTCCAAATATTCCTATTGATGATTAGTCAAAGAGATAAATATACAATAAAGAAAAAAAAAAAAAATGCATGATTATATCACAAAAAAAGAAATGTACGATAGAAAAATAAAAATTTCACTGTAATAGTGTTTTTTTTTGTCTCTTTTGAATTTATGGCAATTGTAAATATTTCTTTTCAGTATAGAATGTTTGAATTGTGTCATATATTTGTTGAATAATTTTAATAAATGTTTTATATTGTTCAAGTAATTCAGTTTTATGACCATGAAAAATAGCTTCATCTATTTGTAAGCGTGATGGTAATATTCGAAATCCAATTTTAACAGATTTACGAATAAGAAAAGCATCTAAAATAGTTATATTATGAATATTTGTTTTATATTTAATTGTATCTAGTTGCGAACAAAATTTTAAAGCAATTTTTCTTCTGAATGGTAATCATTAGGAAGAATTTGAAAAGAAAAAAAGCATTTCTATATCTGAAAGGATTCTCTATTAGGATTAATTCTTCAGCAAAATAGTTTAAATTAAGATCCATTAAAAATCATCTTTCCGGCTTCCATTCGAAATTTTTATTTCATAGAGCAAGATGAAATGTCTTCGATTTCTCTATAATCATCCTTCTCAATTTATAATGTTAAACTATTTACCAATCTTATAAAAATAAAACATGAATAGAACGAAAGGACATGTATGAAATACATTTTTTAACTATGTTATGTTTACTAACATGAGTCAATAAAGTGCAACCAGTACGTTTTCTATTAAAAGACAAGACAAACATTTCAAGCTGTGTGCACTAATAAAGAAACATAAAACATCACTTTCAGAAATAGAAGACCACTCTAGAGAAATCGATGTCAAGGATGTATTTAAACCTTCAGGGTTTTTATTATATTTAGCAAAACTTCAAAGATAATATTAAATTAGTTTTAATGAATAATCTTAATCAATCATTTTCATTTTTTTTTTGGTCAATATCTAAGATCTCATGGTCATTAGGTACTCTATAATCGTCACATTGTTTGCGAATAGATATCAAAAAACTTATCTCTTCTTCGCATAACATGATGTTAATATATGATTCTCCTCTTTGACACCATCATCACCTCTAAGATTTTCAAAAGGCTATACTTACGATAATTATTTAATGTTGCATCATAACATTGTGTTGCAATTGTTGTTGTACTTTCTGATAATGGTCGTTCAGCTAAACCATGAAGAAATTCAATAATAAAAAGTAATGCACGATGAAGTCGTAATAAAGTACGAGTAAAATTATTTGGATTTATTTTTATTAAATTATGTTCAGTTTCATAATTAATAGCTTTTTGTATTGTATCAAAATTTAATATATCTTTATCAACAAATAATTGTAATATATTTAATTTATCAATAACATCATCTTTAACAAATTTAAATATATAACCAAGTGAATCACAGAATCTATTAAATATAAAATAAAGAAATTTTTTTTTGTTTTGAATATTTTATTTTATAATTTACTTTATTAATTCTCGATAACCATCAATATAATCTTGTGTACCAATAGATGATTCTAAATTATTAGGTTCACGTAATGAAGCAATAAATGTATCATATACACGATAAACATTAAATTCATTTATATCATTTAATTGATATTCTTTGATTTTTTCTATTGATGAATTATTTGAAAAATTATCAGAATATATTTCAGATCGATGCATATTTTATTATATTCACACAAGTTTAATAATAGATAATAATGAAAAGACAAAAACAAAAAAATGGCGCTTTATAAAGTTTATCAAATATTATACTTTGCCCTTGCTAATAAATGTACTCAGTCAACGTGTAAAAAGAAGAGTAGTTAGTAAAAAGAAAAAACTGACAAGTTATTCATGTAATTTTTTGTTAGTATATACTTATTTGAGTCATCAATGAATAACAACCAGGTGAACTCGGTAGAGGACATCTAGTTTAAGACCAAAACAAAATTAAGTCGTTCATAAAATCGAAGTCAAATAAATATTTGAGCATTTTTGATATAGTTAGAGTTAAGATATCATTTCTATTGTATGTCAAACACGCTTGGATAGTTCATAATAGTAGACAGAATTTAGTCAAATAAATAATTAAAAAATATGTATGTTCCGGTAATAAAACAGTATTTAAAATAGATTCTTCTCTTTTTTTTTCTTCTGTCGTCAATAAATTATTACAATCAAAGATTGATGTATGATTGAGTAAAAATGTATAATTGACATTGTGTAGACTAGATAAACTGTTTATTTTTATTATTCATGGTGAATTTTCAAAAAGTTTTGTATTCTCAAGGTTTTTGTTGGGAAGAAAAAAAAAACTCATATGAAGATACCTTGAAAAACACTTGTAAAACTATATTATATTTCATCAATAATCAAAAATCTTTATTGCTTATATATAACAATTCAATCTAAAATTGAACATATTCCATTGTATTCAAAACAAGGGCTTTTTTTGTTCCCCCTAACATTTACCGAAGAGAAAACATCTTCAAAATCAAATAAAAATCTCGAACAGAAACATCAAAAAAAAAAAATGCTTAATTTTAACATATTCTACCAAGTGAAAAAATTATTAATTATGTATTATTCCAATAACATTTATCTTTTGATGAATGTGCATGATGAAATAACATAAAATTAGCATGTAGTTTGTGTGTAGCAAAATTTATAGAAAAAAAAAAAAACAAAGTCACGGAAATGAACAAATTATTAACGTTATTAAAAAAGATTTACTCTCGTTCAAAGAAATGTCAAAGAGTAGCATTCGTGATAATATTTCAACAAGAATCGAGGTCTGGATTTACTTGACAGTTAAATAAGAAAAAACAGAAAACTAAGACAAGTCATTATTATTTGAGAAGAAACACATTTTTACAATCATCAGATTAGATGAAACACAGAAGATTCATTACTATAAATGTTGACTATCAGTTTATTATTAGATTTTTATGTTTTTTTTTTTTTTTGCAATAATGTTATTTGAAAATCAGTTATTATCGTCTAATAGAATTTTATTTTTATTTATCAAATATTCTTTTTTTCTCTTTTCTCGTTGCTCTGATTCGATATGTTTTTGCTACTAAATAACTTGTTTTTATTATTAACAAAGGCATTCAATCCTATTCTATTTCATGCTTTATAAACAATTCTGTTCTACTTTCTTTTCATTTCTCAATATAATCTATCGCATATGTTAACTAATAATAGATTTAGTATGTACTCTATGACTATCCACTATTGTTTATAGTCGATTTTTAGATACTCGATCTAAGTGCAATTTTAAAATGTTTATTATTACTCTATGCGTGCACATAAATACATTAATCTTCTAAATACATACATATCCTATTGCTTTAAGATGAAAAGATTTATAAACGAGGGAAACAGATTAGATTTGTCGAACTGTCGTTCATATTTCTCTTTGTTGAATATTAAAGACCTTGAAAAAGATCTTAATATTTAAAATTTCTTTTTTACTTTTGAGTTATTTCATATTAATATTATTTATTAAGATAAAAATTCGAGTGTATTTCTTATCAAATAAATTCTTATTAATATTCTATTATTAATCATCATTATAATAAACATCAAAATATGTTTAATAAAATGACATTATGTTACATATTTTGTTTTTGTATTTTAGATTATTTGATTCATTGATTTATTCAAATTAGATTGATCATCATACTCAAAACAAAAAGGAAAAACATCTTTTCTTTTCATTATTCATATAAATATTCTTAATGGTTCTCTTCTATGGTCTACTGGCTTTTGAAACAGCCAACAATACTATTGCTGCAGCATCTAAACGAACAAATAGTATATTACAAAAAGAAAATTCATTTGAAAATGTATCATCATCATCAACTAATTCATGGATTTATACTGAAGATTTAAGAAAACGTTATTCTAATCATCGTTGTATATTTGTACCTGTTTATGTTAATGAAAAAAATTCTCATCATAATTATAATACAATAGAAAAAATTAATAATGAAAATTCTTGGATATATTCTAAATCAGTTTGTGATCGTTTATATTATTCAACATCAAAAATATCTTTACCATTAACAACAAATCTATCATCATCATCATCATCTGTATATTATTTAAATAATCAAGCATTTATTAAGTCTAATAAAATATTAATAGAAAAAAATTCTCAAAAAAAATTTTCATCATCACAATATAAATCAACAACAAATAGTTTATCATCAATATTTAATACAACAAATAATTTAACTAAATATCATCAAACAAATGATCTTGTAGAAGAAAATGACGATGATGAAGATATTCAAAATGAAAATCATTCAGCACTACTTATTAAACATCCGTAAGTTTGTAAACATTTCAAACAGAAAAGAAAAATATTAACATCAGAATCAATAACCATCGAGCTTGCTTACGATCCCAGTCTGACGAGAGGGAAGGCCACCAACTGTTCAACCGCTTTTGCATTGAGACTATGTGTATTATGTAGATTCAAATGAGTTATAAATAGCCTGAAAAGGCCGTTAGCTTATTGTTATGGAGTATTTGTTTGCCGTGACTGCTCTCAGAAACAGCAGAAAACTTAGTTTTCGAATTTCAACCTGTGATTTTACATAGACATAGGTCTTCTGATTTACTTCTATCATGAAATGAGACTATCAAATCCGATGGCTAGAGAGCTGTGGGTTCGCGTTTTTATGGATTCGGGTCCAAACCCGAGGTTTTATCCATCAATACCTAGCAACATTCGTGTACATGAACTAGTAAAGAATCAAGATTTTAGCTATTTATTCGCTACTCTCAGAAAAAAACTCAACGTACAGTTATATCTTGTTACTGGATTTCTCGTCACATAAACGTGTAATCGAACCCGTCAAAAAAATTAAACTTTGGACCTGGACTCATAGCTCTCTACTGATGGCTTATCTGAGTGATGTGAAAGGCATGTTATTATCATAGTTGTATATGCGGATAGAAACCGTGACAAGATCTGAAACATTCGCAAGATTTATTTCTATGTAAAGTTTCAAGTTGAAATTCGAAAATTAGTTTTTCTGCTGTTTGCGAGGGAGATCACAGTATTTATTTAAAAAATCCCATAAAAATAGTCTCAATTGATGACTTTCTCTTGTTAGAGATGTTTATAAACTTGTTGAAAACATCTCTGAGATACTTCCAGAGAAAAATTTCAGCCCGATTGGAAAAAGTAAGACCGAGATTATAAGTAGATCCGATGGTTGTTGAAGATTCCTTCATGCAAATCGAAAAATATTTGCCATAACAAAAAAAAATTATTTTGTTTCTTATTCATGCAAGAAATTCGATTTGTTCATCAAACGGAAAGAAAGAAAAAAAACAAACAATAGAATCTATTATCGATCTACATAATTAGAATTTCTTTTTTTCATTTTCATCACCTGAAATCCACTGTGTTCATTTGTCTGTTGGTGTTTTCCAGTTTGATAATTTTCTAAGAACATTTACATTTCAATTCATTTATGTGTTGTGTTGTGTTCATTGAATCCAACAGGTTAACTATGAATGTTTGTTATGTAGAAAAGAATGAATGTAGAATCTTGTCTAGATATAAAGATAATTGAGTCAGAATGAGACTAATCATACTGTCATCTGATCTTAAAATTTTTCGAATTCCTTTTTCTGGATGGTTAAAATTATAAAAATTCATACAAACGAATAAGATAGATCATGTAGTTCCGGCGGTGCCCTTAAAATTGATAGATCAAAAGTGAACCCGTTATTGGGGCAAATAAATAAAGATTTTTTTTTTCTTTAATTTAGTTTTATAGATTCATCATGTCCAACAACAACAACAACTGAACCATCGAATAGCAATAAGAGTTTAGTTAATACAACCAATAATAATCAATTGACTACTAATAAATCAAATACAAAACAAACTATTACACATAATAATCGATTCAAGCGTTGGCGCTCTTTTTTTTTCAAATCATCTTCTTCTCTTTCCAGTACTCAACAAGAACAACAAACAAATTTGTCATCTTCGTCGTTGCACAATCGAATTTCGAAAACATAAGTTTATATATATATAAAGATCTATCAATGATGAAGTTTTTTTCCATTGAAGATTGAATACATTTATTCACGAAATGATATTGGCAATGAAGAATATTTGTTTAGTTTTATAAATATTATGTGATATGAATATTCATGTCTTGTGGTTTTTCCTTTTTCTTTTTGGTTGATTAAATAAAATTACGCGAATAATTTGACAATTTCCTTAGTAGATTATTTACTAATGAAATAAGTTTGATTTAAATCAAGAAAAAAACAGTAGACTTAAATTTCTGCTGTTTTTCCCGTCGATATAAGTTTTAACTGTTAATATTAATTTTGATTAATCCTTTCCGACCCATATTTAAACCAATTGACGAAATTTCTTGGAGACTTTATATTTTATATGAGCATTATGCATTGTTGATATTTTCATCAAAACTTTTTAAAAAATCTGTAAAGTTATTTTCGGTCCATACCCGTACTCCCTCACAGGGATGGCAAAGAAGTATTTTGGTCATTCTTGTGGGGTAGTACGGGTATGGATCAATCAGGTTTACTACCTGAGTGACCTCATTAGGATGATAACTCTTGTATAGATGTACACACCGAAGTCTTTTTTATGTCACAGAGAAAACCGTAGTTCGATATCATCTTGCATTCGTGAGTTTTTCAAAGATTAAGAAACTTGAAAAAACCGTACTATATTTAGTATGGTAGGCCTGAAAGGATTAAATACTAGAAACTTAGGTTGCTGCTTAAGAAATACTTCTCGGAACTGTTTGATTAATTTAAAAGAACACGAATTCTTCTCTTTAAACAACAACTGTCTAATCAATCATGAAATCATTCTTTTTTTTTTTAATAAAGGATTTCTATCGATTTTTCAATTGAATCAAATCAGGAATAATATTATTAATGGTGGAATACTTCCAAAAGATACTGAAATATTGTAAAATCAAATTCGAATAAAACTGACGAGGGAATCGCCCGAAGTGATTCACCGCTTTTGAGCTAATATTTTGGGCATATAGAGGTGATCTCTAGATTATTAGTAGCCTAAAATTTACGAAAATAGACATAGAGAACAGTTTTTAAGTTTATTCACAATAGGACACGGGACAGACTTCTACCGTTTTTTTTCAGCAAACTGCTGCAATTTAGGACTGATCTTTTGGTGTATCTTAGTTATCCTTTATATTATACAAAATATAAATATTAGATCTAATTCACCATGTTGTTGCAGACAAATTGAAGAAAACAAAAGTTATTATTTGTTCAGATCAAATAGATATACAAGATTGTAAATGGAAATGATCTGCCTTAGTTATGCCAATAATAATAGCACACGCTACCTTCATCTTCTATTGGTTCAATAATGTGAGAGCGTTCGGTCACTATGTGGTTAGACGCTATGACCTCATGAACGATAGTAGATACTTGCTCATTCTTTCCTCGCATATAAAGCTTATGTTCTATGTGCAGCCGACACAACTAGAGTAATGGAGTAGTGTAGCGAACATCTATACCGAGGATAGCGCAGTAATTATACTCCGTCATTTAATCATTATTGATCACAATAAAATGCTCATTGCAATAGTAACGAAAGAGAACATCATTCCATCTCTCTCTCATTTTCATTACATTTGTAAATTGTACAAATAATTTAGAATATTTAAGTAAATATTCTATTCGAAGGAAAGGTTCAAAAAAAAGTCTCACGAGAGAATATACCCGATTGTCGGACACAGTGAGACTAAGAAAATTCATAAAATTTTTATTTATAATAATCACAGGCATAAAGAAAGAGAGTACTATCAGTAGAGTCCGTCGGGTTGGTCCCGAACTCGGCAGGCAGCAGTCATCTGACAAATGTGCAGTTTGCACTATTTATGAAATGCAAAAATCGGAAACAGTGTTTCATATCTTTCGAGTGACTATTCAATACCGATTAATTTAGAAAATTTCATTAAGAATATCAAAGTTCAGGTCTGAAAATTTTGGGCCAGATGGATTCTCACCACCGGATATAAAACCGGCATCAACTTGGTCTTGAAAATATGTTTCACGTAAAACACTACACATCCTAAAAATCTTGTCATAATTGATATTATTCAAGTATCTTTTAGAGTTAAAACTTTATTAAAAAAAAACAACAAATTTTTCTAAGTTCTTGGAATTTTTTATACGAAGACTGATTACATTTAATATTTCGATAACTTTAAATATTTCATAATTAATTTAATTAACGATAAACAAAAATATATAAATGCAGTAACAATAGATATATAAATTAAAATAATAAATAATGATATAAAATCTAATGTATCAATTGTATTTATATTTAAATTAATTATTCTTGTTAAGATATTAGCTAATAAAAATGCATCTAAACTTTTTTGATTAACATTTTTAACTAAAATTGATTCAGTTAAATAACCTTTCCTTAATAATAACCATTGTATTATACGAAAACATGCTAAAGACATACAAGCTAAACCAGTTGTACTTGAAATATAAGATAAATTACATTATTTTCTTGACGGATTATAACTAATTGTACATAATATAATCATTAGAATAAAAAATATAATTCCGATTTGTTTAAATTCATTATTAATTATAAATTTTTCAATAGAAATTTCAATTAAATATAAACAAACATATCCACCTAAGGAAAATATTCCTTCACGATTAGCATCAATAAAATTTTTTCTTAAATTATTTTATACTATTAAATAATTATCAAATTGAAAATATCTCAATAGAATAAATTCATCAAATATTAATATTATAATAATTAATAATAATATATTTTTTGTTATTTTTAATAAACAATGCCCAATTTATTTCATAAAACAATCAACCACATATTCTTAATATACTTCTTTTTGTATTTTTATGACTTAACGTTTCATATTGATAGGTGTATTTTTTATCCTTATGCAATATGTACGAACTTCTTTTTCCTATTTTAAAGAAACAAACTTCGTTCATGACAAAGAAACGTGAAGATACGCCACACACTTCATTGTTTAAATAGAGCAATATTATATATATATATACAGTTCAGTCTTCGATCGTATACAATTCCATAAGTTACGAATATGATTAACTGAGGTCAACGTGAGATTCTTTTTTGACTATGAGTTTTTGTATAGCTCAATCAATTGTGAAATTCATATCAATACATTACTATTCATCCCTCGATAACAAAACAAGATTCGATTACAAACCTTTGCTTAATTAATAAAAGTGCACAGATGTTCTCATGAGTTAAGATTTATTGAAGGTTCTTTTGCTTACATTCGATTGTTTTCTATAGTTTTACAATGAAAAATCGAATCAACCGAATGATACTTTTCAATTTCTTAGTTCACTAAATTAAAATACTCTGAAAAGCTAAGCTTTTTCCAATACTCCATATTTAATAGATATGAAACCTTAATCATTACAAAAAAATCATCTGAACTCTAACGACAGAACTTGTCTAACTGACTAATCGCTTTTCTCGTATAATGCAACCATAACTGTATGCAATTTATTGTGTGGATTTTGAATATCTGGATTCTAGGACCCTTAGACCATTGCACATTGAATGTCATAACCATCAATCTTTTTCTGACAGCGGTATTTCTAAACAAACAATTACTAATTAGTTTCTCATATATCAATACATATATATTCGCAAGAACACTGTTTCACAAATACTTTAACCTTAAGTTTTAAGTAATAAGTTATAAAGTGCCAAAGTATTTTGTATATTGTCTACAAAGAGTTATATATCATTTCTTGTTTCTTCATGATTTATTCTCAAAATTAATCATAAAAGTATTGCATTTAGTAACATATATCATCAGAGAAGAACTAGAAAAAACCTATGCTAATTGCTTAAAATATAAAACATTAATACAGAGAGAATAAATTTCCAAACAGATGGTAAATTGAACGAGATAATATGGTGCAATACAGAGGACAAATTGTATCTTTACTCATTCATTATGTGAAAAAACTAATTCTAAAAAAGCACTGGTGTATATTAAGTCTCTTCTCTGTTATGGTGGATCTTAGTACTCGGTACCCAATGATAGTATTAGTAATAAAGTTCTCTGTAAATATTGTCTACTAACACATGATAAACTGTTTGATGATAAACACCTTTGTTAGAAAGAGGGTGGTAGTGAAAATATAGGATCTACAAAAAAATCAAGAGTCACTACGACCCTAATATTCATAATCAGCATAATAAGCTGCATACAAACTGGTGACATAACCAGAAAAATGTCAAGGGACTTAATCCATTTAAGCTCACTGTAAAGAGGTTAGCACCTACACTTATATCAGTTTCAAAATTTTCTAGTGTGGACTCGAACATTTGTAAGAGGCGGAGCTGAATCTCTTTTGGTCACGCCACAAATATAAAGATGTATACTTCGAAAAAAAAAGCGATTCGCCATTTGGAGGACTTCTCTCGTAATTAGACAATGGAACGTCAAATAATAAGTGATAAAATTATTCATATCAATAAGGCATTGGACACTACATCGTTCTCCACTTATTGTTAACAATAGATATGTACATCAATCATTTTTATTCTATTGCAAAAAAATAGTTGAGAAATATTCCATCATTTGTATTGCGCGTGAATGATTCGAAGAATTTTCAACTATACTTTCTTTTAATCACAATGTTCGAATTTGTAAAAATGACTGTGTTGTTCATTAATGGTTTAAATGCCAAATATGCACTCCGAAATACAAAGAATAAACAATACGTCAAACAACTGTTGCTATCGGCCGTCAAAATAATGAAGAAAAAAAAAAAATGACCGTCCGCAACATAATATATAAGAGCAGTTATAAAAGTGATGCATCATTTCTTTGTTTTCATTCAACCTAATGACGATGATCAGTCTTTTCGATCAACTATCTGATTTAGTATTAATCGAAATATTTTCTTATCTATCTTGTGCTGATGCTCTCTGGTCATTTTCTAGTCTCAACTCTCGTCTGATAACATTGTTAACAGAACGAGGTTTTTATCGCCATGTTAATTTATCATCTACTGGAAGAAAACGCTTCGCTGCAATTTTTTCTATACTTCGATTAAATGAGATACAATCACTTGTCATTGATCGTTGTACATCACCTCTTCAACTAAAAAGATGGCCTCATTTACCACATTTAACAACATTAAGATTACAAGGTGTACGCAACTTTAGAGAAGTTTTTATATTGATAAGAAAACATGCAAATACGTTGATTCATCTTACAGTCGAATCAAGTCGTTATTTTTATGCAGTAAGTAGAACTGGATACGATCTTAGCCACAAACAAGAATACGATGTACAGAAAAATCAAGAGAACTTTAAGAAAACATAAACAATATTGCTGGCCAGTTCTTACTCGTATAGTGACGTATACAACGTTGCTTTCAAAAAAAAAATTGCTTAGAACTTTAATCTAGAAACTGCATTAGTGTGTTCTGCACGCCAACATGTCTGAGAAAAAGATTTGTCGAAAAACGTTTTTTCTCTTGAACTTTACTTTCAATTAAACTTGTCAGTTAGATTCAACTCTGAAATATTATTTTAACTATATAGTAATGACTATCTGCAATATGAGTAAATGTATAATCTTTGATATAATAATTAACTCCTAGTTCTTTGACTACATTAATAGTATTTTACGAAAATTTTCTTCTCCTTTCTATGCATAAAAAATCTAGGTTCATTTTTCTCATATAGGGTTCTATTTTGATGCAAAATATTTCTTTTATCTAGATGTTTGGATAATCAAGCAAAAGATTTTAATTCTCAATTAATATTACATATATTCTTCTAATATTTTTTGTTTTATAAAGGGTGGCATGACAAGAGAAGTGGCTTATCCAATATGGCGCTTATGTGAATTTCTCGAGAAAACTCTTTGTCGTCTGCCTACTCTTCAATCGATTGATTTAGGAATGGATACATCTTTTTGTTTACATAAATGGCCTTTCAAAATGATACAAGCACCCTTAATCTATCTGAAAATTTCGCTCGGTCGGACATATCTTTTGATTGATATATTGTCAACGAAACCGTTGTCATCTACATTGCAACAACTACATATAAAAATATTAGATTTTTGTGGTGATATAGACTTTTCTTTACGTAAAAAAGATTTTTTACCTCGAATGGAATCTTTACATACGTTTACCTTTGTTAAATCACTCAAATGGCATTCAAGTGAAGAATGGACATTTGTTAATGTATTGACAACTTCTAAAGTTATGCCTGTTTTACGACGAATGAATTTTTCTATTGTTATTGATGTTAATAATCTGAATCAAATGGCTCATTCAGCTCTCTTTCATGACGATCGTCATATAGATGTTCATTATGTTTTTATGATTAATGATAACCGACAACATTTTGAACTTAGTCAATATGTACCACATGGTAGTTTGTCTCATCCTCGTCAAATAGCCAGTGCAACATTTATTTCTGAATGTTGGACTGTTGATCCAAAGATCAGAAATCATGATGAAATTTATGTAAGTGATCACTCTTTATATATTACAAAGTTATTTCAATAATAAAATATTCTTTCAATCAATCTGACTAATCTTTCTTTTAGTTGGAGAAACCTAGAAATCGACAACATCTATTTTATACTTTGCCGTGGATTTTTGATGAATTTTTTCAATTATGTGTTCCAGATAGATATATTAGTGAATTACAAGTTTTTACATCGGCTTCTTCAGCTAATACAGTTGGTCCTTCTCGTCTTCGTAAACTCAATATATCAAATGATCATCCATCATTGGCTACTTCTTTCCCTCATATAATATCCTCGAATCAAGTAGTTGAACTTCATTTATCACGATGTGATAGACAAACATCTGTAACTTTACCGACTTTTGATTATCTTATTATTACAGACAGTCTTGATTCATTGAATAGTAATTTTTTTTCAAGAAATATTCGATCTATTGAAATTACTCTTAATCATGAACATCTTCATCTTGCAAGAAACGATTGGAATGATTTGCCGACTCTTTCTACTTTACCGTTCTTGAAGTCTTTACGTATACTTTTATATGGTATGAATATTCCACCAAATGATACAAGTTGTCAAATCATTGCAGAAACAGCATCAAAGATCTCTGATTTTTGCTTTTGTTTTCGACGTAAAGATTATCAAAACCGTCGTAACTTTGATGCGGCACATATTCAACAGTCTTTATTCATTAAACAACTACAGAATAACATTCTTGCTTTACCACTGAATGAAAAACCGCAGATTGTTGTTGAGAAGGATGGTTATGGACTTATTGCATGGTTTTGATTAATAAATAGAAATGAGATTAGTTAGAATAATTGTGATTATTAGAAGAATT